TATGGATGTAGAGTATACAGAGTATCAATAGAAGTGTGCCACAAGGTACAAGCATTTATATTGAATACATATTATTTTGATTATGTTGCGCAAGAGAGTTTCTGGTGATTGTACATCTTGGGGAAGCAAATTGGTCAATGAGATAAAGGAACTTGTTATTATTAGACTTTTTTTTTATAGAATTACGGAAAGGGTAGTGATATAGTTTTTGCCAGCAATACTGGTAAAATTATATTTTAAAAATGGAAACAAACAAAAGAATTTATAAAATTTAGCAACTTAGAACCGTACTATGGCCAGCTATATGACTGATAAATCATTGGAAATTATATGAACACGATTCATTACTGTAAGATGTTTGACGAAAAACATTGGAATAATAATTTGATCCACACTTCGTGAAAAGGTCTGAGCAATATAATAAAATTTGTTGTTAGTTATATCTTTTAATAAAATATAAAATATATAATAAAATTGTAGAGCTTATGACGATATCTAAGCAATGTTAAAGTATGTTGATTAGCCTATAGGACACGATAAGCCAACGACTAAATAGATGTTTGATACTTTTTGCTACCGACTAATGTACTATTTTTGAATAAAACCCTTCGTTGAATATTAAATACATTTACGAAAAACTAAAAATTTTATAATATGTTCAAATTTTGGTTAACCCATAGGTGTTAAGACCTATAATAAGGGTTAAAAGCTATAATAATATTTGCGAACGAAATTTTATGGGTCTTGCGATTGTATACTCAACACATTCGCCCTAAAATTAAAATCTCATTGAAATCTTTATCTATATTCGGAACTACGTTATGGATAATCAAGTATTTTATTTGAAAAATATGTACTAAATTAAAGTTGAACTGACTTTTTTTTAAAAATCCTTTTTTTCCTTGTTTTGGTTAATATATGTATTTACTAATAAAATCCAACTCATTTAAAGTCTTAATAATGCAACAAGAAATGCAGCAAACCAATATCCTTTAATCTGATATCCTTTAAAATTTAAAGTTTTTAAGGATGGTTTGATAAGGATGGTTTGATAAGGATGCTATGAGGTCTGACAGAGAAAGAAAATGTTTTTTATTTGTGTAATAATGTTGTTTAGTTGTTTTATTTTTTTTTGTGCAGTACAGTTTTTGTTTTCTTTAGAAAAATAATATGTAGTCAACATAACTAGTAAAGTTATCCATTAAAAACGGAAACGGAAGAACAAAGAAAACAAACTAGTACAAATACATATAAAGCAAAATACATGTTAGAATAAAAAATAAATAAATAAATATGTTTATGTTTGTGTGTAAACACACATACACACAAAACAACAACAACAAAGCAACACTGACTTCCTTGCACTCGTACAGAACATATGTACATGTGCACGTCCTTTGGAAGAAGTGTGTATGGAACCGGAAATACTCCACAAACCCACATGCCTCAACATTAATGAAGTGTGTCTGTACGGAAAATTGAACTGAGGCGTCGCTCTTTAAGTAGCACCAAAACGGAGCTCAACGTATTGTATGGGGACTTTCCCATAGTTGGAGGAGTTGCATGCGCTGTGGCACACATTGGTACATATTGGAGCACATCTGCAGACAACTGCACAGGGCACATTAAAACTTTTGTGCTACTCACATTCTTAAGTTTGTCGTTTGTCGTTTGCTGCAATTTAAGACACTATTTTATCTCTAAATTTTTCTCCATAAATGCGAAATCATAGGAGCTTTTCTACTGTCTTTGTTGATTCCGAATATGCAAAAATATGTATGCGTTTATGTGTCGAAATGGCATGTGGCTTTTCCAGTGAAAATAATTTTTAATTTTCCTCATCTTTGCTTGCTTTAGTTTTCATAGTTTTTCGGTTTGTGAATAGAGTCGAATCATTTTCCAAATTAAAGCAAAGATTTTTCATCTCAAAATTAGATTTAAAGAAAATTGTCGATTTCCAAGGGCTCTTCCTTTGCTCATATGTATGTTTGGGGATTTTTACCGGTAACTCTTTGTTCTTTTAAGTAATTTCATTTTATTCTTGTTTCTATTTATTTTTTATTTATTTATATTGCTGTCAGCAAAATTCAGTAGAGCCAATAAAATTAAATGAAATAAAATAAAAAATTTAAAGGTGAATTGTAAATCTCACAAAAATTGTTCTTTACAGATGAGAACGACTGCAATTTTGTGCTGATTAAGCTAAAAACTTTCAATGATGACGACAGCATCGGATACTAGAGAGAAACCAAATAGAGTAAAAGTATTATATTTTCAAGAAAATAAAAAAATATATGTGATATAAAAATATATTTGGAAACTTTTGAAAAGAGTACAATTTATACATCTAATTGCTTACAGCATTCAATAAGTCTACAGTCTGACACATATGTGGCAACATTGTTGACAGAACCACGCGTGGACAGAGAGTGATATCCTTTACCGGATACATATCATAATTTCTTGACAATTTAGTAATTAATTAAAATTTTATAGTGACAGTGGATTTAGTAAACTATTTTGACAGAATTAAATCGAGATAAGTTTTGTCGTCCCTACATAGGCGATGGGACAGACATAAATTGCACCTGTCTCACTAGCGGATATTCTGAAGTACTCGCAGAATACGTCCGGCATTAAAACGTTTATATCCATCTTTGCGTTCTGCTGGTTTTAATATGTCAAACTTTTGCTCAATATATGTAAAGTCCAAATACCTTTCTAGTTAATTGAGAAAGTTCTTACCTTCTTCTCTTTAACCTACTATAGCACTATAATGCTGTGCTTATATTCATGGTGGAATAAATATAGAGAAATTTTAGAGTCTAATAAATTTTTGTTGTTTGTGGCGTTAATAACATCAGATCAGCGACTTTTTTCGTATTTTTGGTGAAATATTTTTTAATTATCTATTAAAACAATTAATATCAAATATTTACAGCATTATGTTGATGCATTTGATAGCACTTTACACAATTTCGAATGATTTAAATACAGTACTTAATGTGACTATATAGCGTTCACTGGTATGGAATGACTTGTGCATCATTGACTTTAGATGGCTTAAATTGTGCTGAGTTTCATTTCGATTTAAAATGGAGTTGTGAGTGAACATATATTTGCTTATACGAAATGGTTTTGATTTTAAATTGGTCCAGTTATGTGCGCGGCCACTCATTTCATTATTGCACAGAAGTGGAATTAAGCTGAAGAACGTCATGGTTTTACGAAACATTAATTGCAGAGCAGATCGCCTATACGCCACAGCCAAAGTTCAGTGGTGTTTCATTTTAAAATATGAAGCATTCAGTAAACTACAATTAAAATTGTGCAGTTTTAATTTAACAAACACTTAAATCGGCAAACAAAACTGATTGTATGCAAGCGTTTTTAAACAAAATTACACGCAGCACAAAGCACACAACCTAACCGCCCACCAACTAGGTCCACCCAGCCGGGTCCACCCAGCCGGGTCCACCCATTCAGCCACCCATAATGCAAACGTCATGTAACTTTTAGTTTTTGCCTTTGTAACTCCCGGATCGAAAACTGTGTGCAGTTGTCTGCAACTGAAGTGAACGCAAACAAGCAAATTGCAGTTACAATTTTCCGATTTTTTTCCAAAATAATTTATAATAATTATTTAGGGCGTTGTAAACTGGTTGATCGCATGTTGTGCTTCTTAATTTTTACATATTTTTATCTATAGTCCATAGATATACTCTATATATAGTATTTATATATCCGACTCAATGCGCTCGGCATTTCTGTTGGCACAGTTTGCGAGCTCTACATTCGGAGCGCCAGGACATACCACATGTAGGATATGTCCTGGCGTATTGTTTCGATGACTAGGCTCACCTGCTGTTGGCTTATTTTCAATTTTTTATTGCCGTTGATGTAGCTGTTGTTGCTGCTGTAGCTGTTGTTGCTGTTGTTGCTGTTGTTAGTATCGTAATTTTGTGTTATGTACGCAGCATGTGAAATCGCTGCTTGCGGTTGCAGCCTTGTGCATCAGCTGCAATTTCATGCTGCACTTGTAAATTTTTATGACGTCGTTTGGTTTCAGGAATACTGCAAGTGTGCTCGGCGAGAGGATAGAGCTTGTAAAATAGTACAAATATACTTCGCAAATAAATAAAATAAAATAAACCAAAACTGATAAAAGGATATGAAAACATATATAAATATGTACTTCCCACAGTCCGTAGCGCATAAATAACAACAAACTGAACTTTCGTGGTTTTGATTTTATACATTTATTTTTTTTCTCTCACATTTTATATCCTTTTTTAATAGTTTTTTATATGTGGCCAAGGCAGCTAGCAAATCGTGCATGAAATACTCAAATTCTCGTTCGATTTCCGATATTGTATGCGTTACTGCACCGATAGGATTAAACAGTAAAAACTGCTTATGGCAGACACAGCAAAAACTACAGAAACTACAGAAAAGCATAAAAAATAATATGAAATTGTTTACAAAGTAAAGATTTTACAGGATTTCCATAATTAAGTTTAACAAACGAAGCGCACTCATTAAAATTTAAATAACTTAAATTATGTTCATAAATTAAAACAAGGATGATGTAACATAAAGTAACTACATTGTACTGAGTATATAAAAAAATTATTTATTTTTTTATATATATATATTTTTATGGACATCACAATATATTACATACATATTTATGTTGCAGAAACAGTGATGTCAGATTCATGTGAATATAGTAAAATATAATTAAATCTTCCCTTCTTACGTATAAATTCTACTGAAAGGAATCAGAAAAATTTCACGAAAATTAAAATTCGGATACACGAAGTATAATTAAAAAAACAAAAATTCAGGGCCTATTGCTATTAATTTTAATAAAAAAGTTTATTTAGTTACACATAAAAAGATAAAATTATTGTTCATAATCGAAAGGAAAGTATTTTATTATACATTTTAATTAACTATTAAACTAACAATGATTATTTCGAACGTGTAAATTTAATTTCAACTCCGAAAGTAGGTTTTTATTTGTCAACAGAGAACATAAAGTATATATTAGAGCCCCTAACTTTACACGGACGATTGTGCTTAAAGAACAGCTGTGCCTAATTCACGATTACGCCTAACGCAAGATTATATGCGATGTACGATTACGTACGACACACGATTATATTCAATGCTCGATTATGAGGAATAAACGAATATGTCCAATATATTATAATACTTAATACAGGATTATAAACAATACATGATTATGCTACAGTCCCTCATAAGGTCGCTCATTACAGTTCTTCGCTACAATCACTATCTGATGTCACTCGCTACAGTCATTCACTACAATCACTCACTACAGTCATTCACTACAATCACTCACTACAGTCACTCACTACAGTCACGGTAGCATGACGGTCACTCGTTACATCCACTCGCCACAATTACACGCTACCGTCACTATCTACAGTATCTAGTATCCACTATCTATCGACTGTTGCCACTCGCTACAGCGACTTGCAAAAATCACATGCTATCGTTACTATCTACAATCACTCGCTACAGTCATCTGCAAAAGTTACTCGCCGCAGTCATTCGTTATAGTCACTTGTACAGTAGTTATCGACACTCACTAAAGTTTAATTATATAGAATAAAAAAACCAGCGACTGGAAATGTATTTGCTCTTAACTTAATTTTTTATTCTTCTCCTTACTCTACTCATTTAATATATTTTAATTGTTCGTTAGATATTACTTGCTCATTTACTTTACACATGGACTTTTATTCAAGAGAAATCTATATTCTTACTAAATATACTTCTTTAACCTAGTTCTGGCCTAGCCAGACTCTCGCCTTTATAAATGCTTTCGGGGATGGTTCTAACTTAACTATTCTTCTACTCATTATTTCGAGGAATCGTAGATTCAAATCGGCTTTCTTAGCTAATTAAGGAGGATTTGTTCCTCCATTTACTTCCACTAACTAACTAATTAAGCATTAAACTAAAGTCACTTGTTTAATCAGTTGAAATCAGTCGAAATTCTTTTTAAGTGGATAAATGTCAATCGAAATAAAATGTGATTTTTTATGAATGGTCTATAATAAGTTTGGAAATAGTCAGAAATCGACTGCAGTTGGATCATTTAAAAATGGTAGATCATTAATAAGGTTAATGTCTTCTTTACTGACTTTTGCTGATGTCTCATTATCGTACAATAATCACCAACCGTCTGCATGTTTCAAATTCAAATTCAAACCCACTATTCCAGACAGAATTCTGCGTTTAATGCGTAAAAAATCTGAATTGTATTTCAGTCTTACTAATCCCATAATTATGGCTTCTAAATCTGAAATTCATTTAAAAAGTCTTCACTTACTTTTACCAATGATCATCAATTAATGACGACAGCTTTTTATCTTCCGAAAAAAATCAGCTTCGAACCATATATATAATATATAGAACTAAAATCCATGATCAGCCTGAAAAGAAAGAAATTTTGTAAAGAATAAAGTTCAAGTGTAAATACATATAATCTTATATAGTAAATAATGAAATTAGTCCTTATATCAATCTTAATGCAATACGCATGAGTTTTAAATAATAAAATAAAACATTTTCGAAATACAGATTAGTTACAAAGTACATAGGTTAACTTGAAAATACATTCTTGTGGGGCAATTATCTATTAGTTTCATTTAAATCGGTAAAATAATAACGTATTGACCAAATTTCACTATATTTGGACACAATAATTGTTCCTAAAGTGAAAGCCTTTTGTATGACTGTCGGATGTCGGTATAAGCTCTTAAAGATAATTTCTTTAAAATCACATAGTACATATATCCAAAGAGACCTTTATCCAAAAAGTCCAGTTTCTTTTAAGGTCTTAAGAGCGTTACATATTTTTAAATAAATATATATGTTTTAATATTTATCACAATAAATCAAAAGGAACTTGTAGTTTTGCTGTAATAATTCAGGAAAATTTCAGTAAAAGTGAATGTTATATGTTACCTCAACCACAGTAATGTACAGATTTTATACTTTCCAAATACGGTTCTTGCAAAATATTCAGTCTAGAGTATGAGCTAAAGTCTTAATCTAAACTATAAAAATAGGCTCGATTAATTATTGGTTTCATGACACCATTACTTTTTCTTGACATGGAACCCAAAAATTAACAAAAAAATATATCTGCTCATGGTGAATACTTTTAATAGTATGTTAATCTAAGCTGTAAAAAGTGGGATGAAAACCTTCTTCATCTCAAAAGACTGTTAGTTTTTATTGATATGAAACCCATAAGTTGAAAAAAATATGGAAAATAGTATAGTTTCTCAGAGACATTTTAAATGAAATACTTAAATATAAAGAATTTTCTTTATTAATATAATGAACCAAATAACCCTTACTCCATTGTTAGGATATTGTCTTATGTTCCCAAAGAGTAAAAATAGAATAGAACAAATATTCAAATATGCGCTAAAGGTTTGTAGTTAGCTTTTAAGTACTCAGCATAAATACTATATATATTTATTATTACCATATAATTGTTGTGATTTTATCAGAAACCTCATCCTAAACCTAATACTGTAGAGATTGAATATTGCTTTCCAATTTTGTTCAGCTAAGCCATCAATTTTATCGAAGATTGCTAGCTTGTCGTTGAGAGAGAGAACTCAGTAAGGCTAATAGGGTTGGATGTGATTATTCCAGGTTATGATTGAACTCAATTATAAACTGTAAGAATTGTTATAAAAAGCATTGAGCTTTATCAATACGAATAATATTTTCCAAGAAGTATTTGATCAATATCGTGTAATCTTCCTGCTGCGACGGTAAGCATTTCGGTTATCGTAAATCTAAATTCACATTTTAATACCAGTATGATTTAAACTGATATAATTGAAGAGAATACAAAAACAAGCAGAAAATGCAGGATATCTCTTTTTAATATTTATGAGTCTGGACTCTATGATAACGTTTCTCATATCACCATTTGAAAGTACATTGAATAGAAATTTGAAAATTTAAGACGTATTAATTAATCTTTTCCAATAAAAGAAAAAGATCTACTTTAAAATGAGTTGTAAATTTTTTTTCCCAGTTAATTTATTTTAGAAGAACTCGATCTGGATGCATACAATTTTCAGATAAGACAAGTTTTTGATTATTACTAATTTTGCTAGATTAATTTAAAAATTGTGATAAATAAAATAAACAATTTTTTGTTTAAATAAGTTTATTTGTAATGTTAAAGTATAATCTATTATCAATTATAATGCAAGGCAGTTAATGATATGCAGTCTTTTAATATTTAAAGGCACGTATTCTGGTTCAAAGTCTTATATACTAAAAATTACTTATAAGACACTATTACTTCTGGTGTGCTTTATAGTTGTTCCGGTGATAAGGCCTAAGGAGCACATGCTGCGAAGAACATATTTCCAATTGATACTGTTGTACAAAGCAGTCTTGTTGCTTTCATATCCGTACGGTGTGTTAAGTATTTATTTTGCCATCTTTCCCAGCATTTGACTTTTTCCTCCAAAGTGAGGTTTTCAGCAAATATTGAATACTTCTCATCTACATAATCACGAATAAGGGTTTTTAAATTCCAAAACGATAATACCTTATCGCAACTAACTAAGATAAGTTGTTCGCTGTCTTCAGTTATATGAATAGATATTATATAATTGGTGTGTAATTTCAAAACTGCTACTAATACTGTCTTTTGTATATCCCATATTAGCGTCAATGCATCTCGTCCACTAGAGACGATGTATCGTCCACAAGCTGAAAATTTTACACGAAGTGCAGCTTCGGTGTGACCCTTTAGAAGTCTGACTTTTTTGCCGGTTATAATGCTCCATACTACAACGAACCCATTGGAAGCAGCACAAGCTACATAGTTATTATTGGGATGCAAGTCCATATCATACAGCTGGTTTTCATCATATTGAAGGATGTGCAATTCTTTCTTTCTGCCAGACCATATACGGACAGTGTCGTCTGAACTGCATGAGGCAACATATGTGTAATGTGAAGAGAAAAATATTTTGCGAATTAGGTTTGTGTGCCCAGTTAAAATACGCATGCACAATTTTTGTGGCAATGCCCAAATTCGGATCGTTATATCATCACCAGATGAAACTAAAAAATTATTAAAACGTGCAAAATGTAAGTTACGTACAGTGCCCTCGTGGCCTTCTAGAGTCGACCTTTTACAGGATTCCACTCTTATGGTTCTTCGTACTTTTTTTCTTGCAATTCCCATTTCAGACAAAACATAAATAGTTTTTCCAACTCCAACTGCCATCATCGTTGCATCATCTGAATAAGCAGCGGTATTTATAATGCCAGTGGCGCACTCTACGGTGATGACTCGAACATCAGGAGCTATATCTGCAGTAATCATTTTTCTGATTTGATATTGATGTAAATGATTGCTTTTTATTGTTTTCATGTAATCAGGTGATGTAGGTGGCACATGGGTTGGCAGTGGTGCATAAGCTAAAAATTCAGTGAAATTCATCACACGCATTCCAGCATCTCGAAACAGCTTTAAAGAATCGAAGAGACAACCATCAAGAAGACCATGACGAACCAATTGTGAATTTATGGTATCAATTGACTCATCATCAGCATCTTCAACATCTACGGTAGTAGTTGAATTCTGCAAAAAAATAATAGGAAAATATTTTATTAGAATGATATATTCTGCCCGTCTTTTTTTTGAGCCGCCTTAATACGCAAAATATTATATTTATAATTAATTATTTAAAATGACTATAGGAATAGTATGGATATTATTTTCTGTGACTATATCTTTAATGGAAAGAAATCCGTTTTTAAATTGTTTAATTTCGTATAATGAACAACTTAGCAGTAAATTCAGTGCAGAAGGCGGACCAGGAGTAGAATATTGAGTTCCAATTTTTATAGAACTTTTTATATATCACTATTTCAGAACTCACTCTTTTGAAATCATATACATTTCATCAGTATATATTAAAGAGTTATGAGAAGCCCAAAAAGGGTATTAGCTATAAAACGAATGTGAATTTTAGAACTATTTCTAATATTACAGTTTTTTTATATAAACACATTTAATAAATTGAGAGCTAGGCAAATAGGATAGTCTTAAAAACCATTTTATTTGAAACAGCTCAGTGGACTCACAAAATTTAAACGAAATCAATTGTTAAATTAAGAGTTGTTATTAAGAAGATCATTTTATTAAAATTATTTAGTTTATATATATGTATATCAATATATGATCTACATATATATACATTTATATTAATATTGAATTTATATAAATATGTATTTACGTAATTGAATACACTTTTTATATACAAAACAAAATTTCTTGCTTACCGCGTCTGAATCGTCTTCAAGAGAATTTGATAGAGATTTTACTATAACCGATGAAACAAAAGGCGATTCACACTCGCACTCACTTTCACTTTCACCTTCAGATTCAGATGATAAATCAAGTAAAGTCCCACACCTAATAAAACTAACAGAATATTAATGTATATTTATTGCCATACACCTAAAAAAATAAGATAAAGAATTCTAATCATATTATAAAACACTAAATGGTTATTAATAGTTCCAAAATTTCATAAAATAAAATATATTTTAAAAGAAAAAATTAAAATTCCAAGCTTTTTGATGCATTTATAACTAAACTGATTATTTATATTTAATCAATCTGAAAATAGAGCACAAAATTAATACATATCAAAATACATATATAACTTGAATTTCCTTAACTAAAGTATATTCCACTAATAAATTAAATATAAATTGAAAATTTTAATTTAATATAAAATATTTAAATAATAATACTTTTAATTTATAGTTATTGAAATTCAATTTAATATGATTAATTAAAATAAATTAAAATGTATCTTACGTTGGCGACTTTCTAATGGCTGATGAAGAACATGCAACACCTGAACCTGTACTTTGGTCAGAAACCTCAGTATACATTCTACAAAATAAAAAAAATAAGTAAAAAAAATATGTGTACATTCTAATAAAAATAAAAAAAATTAAATAAAATTATAATTTTTAAAAATGCATTAATTAAGTAAGCATAAATTTATATTAGCTTTAAAATATCTGTCTTTAGTTAGGTAAACGAAGATTGTCAGGAATTTGTACTGGATTTATTCTAGAAGATATAGCTATGGGCAAAGTAGATGTATGTCTGTGACAAACCATGCTCTTCTTCTTCAGTTTATTATTTTTCAATGAATAAGAATAAATATTATTTATATGAATTAAAAAGCATTTGAAAATAAATAGAACTTCTTCAAAATAAATAAAAGTAGTTTTAATTTAAAGACTAATGAACTAAATATTGAAAAATATATTATTAGTATATATAAAATTAAACTAAAATTTAATAATTAATTCAAATTGAATTCAATATGATAAAGGAAATGAAATTTAAATATATCTTACATTGCCGGAGTTTCAGCGGCTGATGACGGTACTGCAAAAACTGAACCTGTACTTTGGTTAGAAACCTCAGTATACATTCTACAAAATAAAAAAAAATAAATAAAAAACCATGTGTACATTCTAATAAAAAAGAAAAAATTAAATAAAATTATAATTTTTAAAAATGCATTAATTAAGTAAGCATAAATTTATATTAGCTTTAAAATATCTGTCTTTAGTTAGGTTAAGGAAGATTCTCAGGAAGTTGTATTGGATTTATTCTAGAAGATATAGGTATGGGCAAAGTAGATGTATGTCTGTGACAAACCATGCTCTTCTTCTTCAGTTAATTATTTTTCAATGAATAAGAACAAATATTATTTATATGAAATTAGAAGCATTTGAAAATAAATAGAACTTTTTCAAAATAAATAAAAGTAGTTTTAATTTAAAGAATAATGAACTAAATATTGTAAAATATATTATTAGTATATATAAAATTAAATTAAAATTTAATAATTAATTCAAATTGAATTCAATATGATAAGGAAACGAAATTTAAATATATCTTACATTGCCGAAGTTTCAGCGGCTGATGACGGTACTGTAAAAACTGAACCTGCACTTTGGTCAGAAACCTCAGTATACATTCTACAAAATAAAAAAAAATAAATAAAAAAAAATATGTGTACATTCTAATAAAAATAAAAAAAATTAAATAAAATTATAATTTTTAAAAATGCATTAATTAAGTAAGCATAAATTTATATTAGCTTTAAAATATCTGTCTTTAGTTAGGTAAAGGAAGATTATCAGGAATTTGTATTGGATTTATTCTAGAAGATATAGGTATGGGCAAAGTAGATGTATGTCTGTGACAAACCATGCTCTTCCTCTTCAGTTAATTATTTTTCAATGAATAAGAACAAATATTATTTGTATGAAATTAGAAGCATTTGAAAATAAATAGAACTTCTTCAAAATAAATAAAAGTAGTTTTAATTTAAAGAATAATGAACTAAATATTGTAAAATATATTATTAGTATATATAAAATTAAATTAAAATTTAATAATTAATTCAAATTGAATTCAATATGATAAGGAACGAAATTTAAATATATCTTACATTGCCGGAGTTTCAGCGGCTGATGACGGTACTGTAAAAACTGAACCTGCACTTTGGTTAGAAACCTCAGTATACATTCTACAAAATAAAAAAAAATAAATAAAAAAAAATGTGTATATTCTAATAAAAAACAAAAAGATTAAATAAAATTATAATTTTTAAAAATGCATTAATTAAGTAAGCATAAATTTATATTAGCTTTAAAATATATGTCTTTAGTTAGGTAAAGGAAGATTATCAGGAATTTGTATTGGATTTATTCTAGAAGATATAGGTATGGGCAAAGTAGATGTATGTCTGTGACAAACCATGCTCTTCCTCTTCAGTTAATTATTTTTCAATGAATAAGAACAAATATTATTTATATGAAATTAGAAGCATTTGAAAATAAATAGAACTTCTTCAAAATAAATAAAAGTAGTTTTAATTTAAAGAATAATGAACTAAATATTGTAAAATATATTATTAGTATATATAAAATTAAATTAAAATTTAATAATTAATTCAAATTGAATTCAATATGATAAGGAAACGAAATTTAAATATATCTTACATTGCCGGAGTTTCAGCGGCTGATGACGGTACTGCAAAAACTGAACCTGTACTTTGGTTAGAAACCTCAGTATACATTCAACAAAATTAAAAAAAAAATAAATAAAAAAAAATGTGTACATTCTAATAAAAAAGAAAAAATTAAATAAAATCATAATTTGTAAAAATGCATTAATTAAGTAAGCATAAATTTATATTAGCTTTAAAATATATGTCTTTAGTTAGGTAAAGGAAGATTATCAGGAATTTGTATTGGATTTATTCTAAAAGATATAGGTATGGGCAAAGTAGATGTATGTCTGTGACAAACCATGCTCTTCCTCTTCAGTTAATTATTTTTCATTGAATAAGAACAAATATTATTTATATGAAATTAGAAGCATTTGAAAATAAATAGAACTTCTTCAAAATAAATAAAAGTAGTTTTAATTTAAAGAATAATGAACTAAATATTGAAAAATATATTATTAGTATATATAAAATTAAATTAAAATTTAATAATTAATTCAAATTGAATTCAATATGATAAGGAAACGAAATTTAAATATATCTTACATTGCCGGAGTTTCAGCGGCTGATGACGGTACTGTAAAAACTGAACCTGCACTTTGGTCAGAAACCTCAGTATACATTCTACAAAATTAAAAAAAAAATTAATAAAAAAAAATGTGTATATTCTAATAAAAAACAAAAAGATTAAATAAAATTATAATTTTTAAAAATGCATTAATTAAGTAAGCATAAATTTATATTAGCTTTAAAATATATGTCTTTAGTTAGGTAAAGGAAGATTATCAGGAATTTGTATTGGATTTATTCTAAAAGATATAGGTATGGGCAAAGTAGATGTATGTCTGTGACAAACCATGCTCTTCCTCTTCAGTTAATTATTTTTCAATGAATAAGAACAAATATTATTTATATGAAATTAGAAGCATTTGAAAATAAATAGAACTTCTTCAAAATAAATAAAAGTAGTTTTAATTTAAAGAATAATGAACTAAATATTGAAAAATATATTATTAGTATATATAAAATTAAATTAAAATTTAATAATTAATTCAAATTGAATTCAATATGATAAGGAAACGAAATTTAAATATATCTTACATTGCCGGAGTTTCAGCGGCTGATGACGGTACTGTAAAAACTGAACCTGCACTTTGGTCAGAAACCTCAGTATACATTCTACAAAATTAAAAAAAAAAATAATAAAAAAAAATGTGTATATTCTAATAAAAAACAAAAAGATTAAATAAAATTATAATTTTTAAAAATGCATTAATTAAGTAAGCATAAATTTATATTAGCTTTAAAATATATGTCTTTAGTTAGGTAAAGGAAGATTATCAGGAATTTGTATTGGATTTATTCTAGAAGATATAGGTATGGGCAAAGTAGATGTATGTCTGTGACAAACCATGCTCTTCCTCTTCAGTTAATTATTTTTCAATGAATAAGAACAAATATTATTTATATGAAATTAGAAGCATTTGAAAATAAATAGAACTTCTTCAAAATAAATAAAAGTAGTTTTAATTTAAAGAATAATAAACTAAATATTGAAAAATATATTATTAGTATATATAAAATTAAATTAAAATTAAATAATTAATTCAAATTGAATTCAATATGATAAGGAAACGAAATTTAAATATATCTTACATTGCCGAAGTTTCAGCGGCTGATGACGGTACTGCAAAAACTGAACCTGCACTTTGGTCAGAAACCTCAGTATACATTCTACAAAATAAAAAAAAATAAATAAAAAAAAATGTGTACATTCCAATAAAAAAGAAAAAATTAAATAAAATCATAATTTGTAAAAATGCAGTAATTAAGTAAGCATAAATTTATATTAGCTTTAAAATATATGTCTTTAGTTAGGTAAAGGAAGATTATCAGGAAGTTGTATTGGATTTATTCTAAAAGATATAGGTATGGACAAAGTAGATGTATGTCTGTGACAAACCATGCTCTTCTTCTTCAGTTAATTATTTTTCAATGAATAAGAATAAATATTATTTATATGAATTAAGAAGCATTTGAAAATAAATAGAACTTCTTCAAAATAAATAAAAGTATTTTTAATTTTAAGAATAATGAACTAAATATTGAAAAATATGTTATTAGTATATATAAAATTAAGTTAAAATTAAATAATTAATTCAAATTGAATTCAATATGATAAGGAAACGAAATCTTAAAATATATCTTTACATTGCCCGGAAGTTTCAGCGGTGATGGAACGGTACTGCAAAACTGAACGTTACTTGGTTGAAATCATATGTATACATTACTTACCTAAAATTAAAAAAAACAATAAATATAAAATAAATGCTGTACGATTCTAACACTAAAAAGACTAAAGAATTAACATAATAATTACCGAACTAATTTGGAAAAAAATGTCCATCATTAAGTAAGCATAAATTTATATTAGCTTTAAAATATCTGTCTTTAGTTAGGTAAAGGAAGATTATCAGGAATTTGTATTGGATTTATTCTAGAAGATATAGGTATGGGCAAAGTAGATGTATGTCTGTGACAAACCATGCTCTTCCTCTTCAGTTAATTATTTTTCAATGAATAAGAACAAATATTATTTATATGAAATTAGAAGCATTTGAAAATAAATAGAACTTCTTCAAAATAAATAAAAGTAGTTTTAATTTAAAGAATAATGAACTAAATATTGAAAAATATATTATTAGTATATATAAAATTAAATTAAAATTTAATAATTAATTCAAATTGAATTCAATATGATAAGGAAACGAAATTTAAATATATCTTACATTGCCGGAGTTTCAGCGGCTGATGACGGTACTGTAAAAACTGAACCTGCACTTTGGTCAGAAACCTCAGTATACATTCTACAAAATTAAAAAAAAAATTAATAAAAAAAAATGTGTATATTCTAATAAAAAACAAAAAGATTAAATAAAATTATAATTTTTAAAAATGCATTAATTAAGTAAGCATAAATTTATATTAGCTTTAAAATATATGTCTTTAGTTAGGTAAAGGAAGATTATCAGGAATTTGTATTGGATTTATTCTAAAAGATATAGGTATGGGCAAAGTAGATGTATGTCTGTGACAAACCATGCTCTTCCTCTTCAGTTAATTATTTTTCATTGAATAAGAACAAATATTATTTATATGAAATTAGAAGCATTTGAAAATAAATAGAACTTCTTCAAAATAAATAAAAGCAGTTTTAATTTAAAGAATAATGAACTAAATATTGAAAAATATATTATTAGTATATATAAAATTAAGTTAAAATTAAATAATTAATTCAAATTGAATTCAATATGATAAGG